CCCCAAAACCCCAAAACCCCAAAACCCCAAAACCCCATGCGGAATTATAGGTCTAAGAAAGTAATAATTATCTATAATATTAATTAAAAATGTTAGGATTAAAGAAGAGCAGTGCAGCTAAGTAGCACTTAATGCCTTTGGTAAGGTAAAGCCAATAGACCTAAGGCATGCTCGTCAGTGTTCCCAAGAGGTACTACGATTTGCAACGTCTACATTTCCAGGAGAGCAACTTTCGTAGCGGACTCTCTGGTGTTTAAATGACCATGTTTGGTGGCACTAGCACTCTTGGTTCAACTTTCGGTGGTATGATGACTCGTATGGGATCTCAAGCTATCTATCCCTATAGATAAATGGGCTCATTGTGGGACGATAGGTTCAAGGAATTAAAGACCACCGCTGATTTAGGTTACAAGACATATGTTAGACTCACTGATTTCACTAGTGAGAAAGAAATTGCATATACTATGAGAGATTCAAATGTCGTAGTTTCATGCATTGGTTCTCATGTTTGGAGCAAGCGTGATAAGGACTTTGAAGACGCAAATATTAGAGTGCCAATGGCAATTGCCAAAGCTGCTAAGAACAGCAAGAAAGTTAAGAGATTCATTTATCTATCAGCAGCTGGAGCAGATCCCAATTCTCACAGCAGAAGACTCAGAACTAAGTGGCTTGGAGAACAAGAGGTCAAGGAAATTTACCCAGAAGTCACCATTCTCAGGCCCACATACATCTTCAATTTATTGCACACAAATGTCACAATCTCAGGCAAGTGGGGAATGCAAATGAAGATGTTCAACAGAATGAACTGGCTTCCAGAAGGTATGAACAGCAAATGCTAACCAGTCTTTGTCAATGATATTGCTCTAGCTATGCTTAACTGCTTGAAGATGGAGGAGACCATTGGTCAGACCTATGACCTCGGTGGTCCAAATATTCTAACTTATGAAGAGATATATGAATAACTATTCAATCAAGCAGGAATCAAGCCATACACTACCGTCGTTAAGCTTGAGGATGCCTATGAATACTATCACTACAAATGGTGGTAGTCTTTCTACAGACAACTCTTCAGAACATGGCTCACTCCTGAGTTCATGACCATCGAAGCTCAAGATCTCGTTTGCAATCCAAATAACAAAGGTTTCGAAGATTTACTCATAAAACCAGTCAGTTTCGGTAAAAAGGTACCAGAGTACGCTCAAGATGTCTACTGGCAATACAATGCTCAGGATGTAACAAAGAGAGAAGGTGCTAATAACTGATTAAATTATGGGAAGTTTTGTTAGACCTCCTATTCTTATTTAAACCATTATACTTTTAAAATTTCTCTCCTCTCCAATGAAATTATATATAAAGCATTTTATCTATATATTTATTTAATTAGCATACATGAACTTATTAATAAATTAAAGATTGTTTATAGGCAAGTACTACAATTCTATAATAAGACAAGCATATATTATGTTAAAATTGTTCATATGCTCATTCCCAAACGGATGGCCATCATTACTGAAAATCGTTAATAGATATTTACAAGTTGGTATTTGGAATGAGATCAACCTTATAATTATATATACTGTTACTACCATACACAGCTTCATTGTCACTGCTTCTCGTATATAAGAACTGAAACACTTTTCTTAGACTGGAGCACATGCTCCTCCTTTTAAACTTACTAGATCTCTGAATCATTGCAGAACCACCAATCCCCGTCTAATCTCTTAGTAATACAATTATAGTGTCCTGACTCTAATGTCTTACCCTTGTGTAATACAGCTCCAATCAAACTAAATTTGCCTAGCTTTTCAAAAGCTTGGTTGCAATAACTATAGAAGATTAATAAACTATGTTTAATCTTACTCATCCATGTCCATCTCAAGTGGATAATCAATAGGTTTCTTATTCTTAATAAATTAAGACTACTCATTTTCTTCAAATCTTCTCAAATGAAGAACAAGATATCTGGGTAGATTTATGAACTTTTTCTTAATATTAGCATTTGTTTTAGTTTGGCAAGCTAAGCAAGAGTACATCTCTTCAGCAGTACCTTCAATCCTCTCTGTAGCGAGATATTACTAGAGAGAGGTTTTCAGGTTTTAAGTGATGGGAAGAGATATATCCATAAATGGAATGAATGATGGGGACTTGTTTTGGCACTGCTTACACTATACTATCTGGCATATCTGTCCAACAAATAGTTAATCTATGATCGAGGGATGAGCTTATAGGTAATTATTCCAGTAATTGCTAGCCTATGAACTAGTAGTAGAGAACCTTCTATTAACCTCGCATGAAGGGCCTGGATTCAACTCATCCTAAAGCTGACTTAGTAAATACATCAAGAACTCATGAGCATCGTGTTGAAGTGATGAACAGAATTTTCTCTCAACTAAATTGTGAAAGAAAGTGGGCTTTAAATGATCGTATTCTTCCTCAAGAGTTAACATTTCTTTAAAAAGTTTAGCAAGGCTATGGCAATAAGTCTTTTTTTGAAAATGTGTTTGATAAGTAACTTGTCCAAATTCTTTGTAAAAGAAATAATAGCGGAAATCTTTTATGCTTAAGAGAACTTGGATGACTGAATTCATATAACAGAAATATTAAGGATTATCTAACCCTACTACTCTCACTTCTCTAAATATATAATTATTAGGGATTGGATATTACTCCTCTGGATATTTATGCTGCCTATTAAATGTAGATTTTTCCTGTTGAAATTTTTCTTTAGCTCTATTTCTAATAGCTCCTTTTTAATTATACTGAATCATTGCTGATAATGATGATGATGGTCTTGAGGTAGTTACATCATCATCGAAATTTGATACACCTCCTTTTCCTGCCTATATTTATGAAAAATATAACACTTAAAATAATTGCTTACACTTTGACAAATATTCGCTTGATTGTATGTTTCGTCAGTCACTCCCCCACTTTTTCTCATGTTCTAAATATCAAATGTACCTGGTGGCAATCCTTCATTACTTCCCAATAAAGAATCCTGCTTTTTCCTTGTTCTTGGTATTTGTGGTGTGCCACTTCTTTAAGATACTCTTTCTAGAAATTTCTTCTCTTCTTAGTCTAATAGATATTCTTCAAGCATTAGATTTTGCTCCTTTGTCACAAGATTTGAGTTTTTGAAACTATCATCTGAGTGTAATTCACTCTTTTTATGATTTTATTGGTTGATCAATTAAAATGAACTGCTTTGGGAGTCATCATTTTGATCTGATTCTAGAAATCTTTTTTTCATTATTGGTCCGCCTCCATAAATAGCATACAAAAATTTCCACATTTTCTCAGTCATGAAATAGTAATCCACAGACACTTCTATATTCTCACCTCTAAGGAAATATTTGTAGTATAAATTTTTGTTGCTAATCTTTTTGGGACATTTAGCTTTTCTAAAATCACTGTAAAAATGTTATAAATTACCCAGACAGAAAGTTAGTCCACTATTTAACCCATTTTGTGTCCACTATGTATAACATCTCATTATTTCCACTTGATGAGTCTTTCTTGATGTTTTCAAAAAATCTCTTTTCAAGATGCCTTCTCTCATCAAAGCTTGAAGCATCTCTAATCTAGCAAGGTATATCATCTTTCTCCTCTTCTGTTACCACAAACTAAATATCATTGAATAAGATGTATATATTTTAATACAGTTTGCTGTTCCTCTTGGTCTTGGAGTTCCTCTTAATTTTCCTCATTCTAACTTTCAATAATTTAAGTATTATTTCTAGGGTAAGATCCATCCTTCTTCGAATCATGAGAGGCTATGATAGAGTTTTTATGAATTTAGTAGGTGTTATTCTAAGATGTGTTAAGTTTTCTATTCGTAACTTCACTTTATTAATTACCTTAACTATTTCTAATAACGCTCGATGCTATTTTGCTAGAGTCAATTTTTACAATTGAGTTTTTCCTTAAGTTTTGTTTAAATTGAATCGCATTCTAACTAAGTTTGGGTTTATGCTTCCGACTGGAGTGGTTTTAGAACGAATTTGAATGCTTTTTAGTGATACGCATCATTTGCTCTTCTGTCAATGATTCCTCCTACTCTTTTTCAGATTCTTCTATTTGACTCATTTTCTCCATATCTCTGGTTTGAATATAAGATTTGTTTTTCTAGCGTTAATCTGAATATGAATCATCCTGATCAGAAGAGTTCACATTCTTACCTTGTCCTTCGTTATTATACATCAAATTTTACTTTCTCATCTTCTTGTCTTCACTTCTTGTAATGAATTGATCTGAATCCTTGTTAATTTAATGTCCATTTTTCTCATTTGCTTTGTGTACAGAAGCTAATTTAACATTCGTAATTCTTAAGGGTTATTAACTTTTGTTAGCACCAGCTTAATCATAATCTTGAGCTAAAGTATTTTGATTGATTAGGAGTTGAGAATTGTTAAAATTTTTCCTGTGGATTTAAGATTTTTAACCCAAATCGCTCTAGGTACTATCTAAAATACTTGAATTTTAAATCTTTAACTACTGTGTTAAATTCAAAGCATTTTGATTGATAATGTTATTCTTTTGGTTTTTATTAAGCAATTACTCTCTATTATCTTGATGTCTATCAAGGGATTAATTGTGAATATTCTTCTTATGCTAGTTGGACTGTTTAATCTTAACTATCTCATCATCTTTAAATCTTAATTGATCTATTTCTTGGAAGATATTCTATAAGAATCTATTTAAATAAGGTTAAATTACCTGTCTGATTGGGGGTAAGCTTTAGTGCTAATTGCCCTAGACTTAATAAGCATCTATCCTTTGCTTTTTCGTTTAGCAGCAGCGAAATAAAACATTAGACATAAAACTCATTCTCAAATATAGCTAATTTATTATATAAATATTAATGCGACACTTTTGATTTTTATCTCTGGCTTTTCAATTATACGATCTAAGTTAAAGGGGTTTTGGGGTTTTGGGGTTTTGGGG